GGGTAAATTGCTAACTTGAGAACCTAAAAAGCTAGAAGACTGTAATTTTAAGAGGATGTTCTCCGTCCGCGTAAGTCTCAAAGAGCTCAAACCCAGACATCGGGTATGCGTGGTACCCACATACGGCCCGTGAAAGTTTTTTCCAGTAAGTTTCTAACTCAGGAGCCAGGAAAGCTAGAGAGCTGAAATTTTAAGGGGATGTTTCCTAACAGTTCTGGCGGCCAACCTTAATCTTAGCTAGAAGCATTTGTCGGAAAAACTGGTGCCGCTAGCGACAAAACTGCGGGGAACTATGCAAAAAACCCATTTGCGTACGGGCAGCCCGTGCTTTGGCTAATTATTTATATTTATCATAATTAATATCTATACCATAAAAAATTTTTAAAACAATTGGTAACAAAAACTGAAATTTTGGATTTGATCAGTGGTTTTGAAAACAAGTTGCAACTGCAGTCATTTTATGAGTTTGTTTCAAAAACTTGTTTCGAAAACTTGTGATTTTCGGAAATTCTGCCGACCACTCGATAAATTTTAGTAGCTGGATTTGGAATCGTGTTTCTTTCGGCACTGGTCTGCGTTGTGACGGCCGTTTCAATTAGCGGCATATGTTCGAATGGTGAAACAAAGAAAGGAGGACTGTATTACGTGATTTCCAGGTAACATAAGCAGACTTCCTGTATAGGTTGGGACATGTCTTTGTGTTAAGCACGCATTTCGTCCTAGTTTTTGAATTAACAACTAAAAAAGTTAGCAAGTCAAATTCTAGGAGGAAGTTCCCTCCCGTAGGCGCAAATTTAAACTGAGCTTTCACGCAAACCTATATAGGCGTTTGAATGTTTTAACGGGAAATTTACCAACATGACAACCAGACGGGTAGAAAGCTAAAATGCCCGAAATTTATGTGCGAAACATAAAATGAGCTGCTATACCACATGTATCAAGCGTGAAAGTTTTGACGACAAATTTTCTGATTCAGAAAACTGAAGGGATAAAAAGCTGAAAGAATGCTCCCTCTTTGTATAAAACCCTTGGAATTTAAACGCACCTTCTACACACGACTATATCTCATGTATTATCGCATGAAAGTTCGGGCAAAAAAATGATGACATTATTCCAGTCGAGAACCCGGCAAGACTGAAAGCTGAAATTTGAGGAGGATGTGTGGCCAGAAAATTTTAACTTTCCCGTGCTCCCAGGTCTTACGAACAGGCACTTGATCCCCTAGGTCGAAAGCCAGACAACATAATGATAGTTGCATACCAATCAGTAAAACAAACATTTATAGCAGCAAGTGGGCAGAATTGAGCAAAACCCATGATCGTACAGGTTGCCTTGGCTCATACCACTATTTGTTTTTACTCCAGTTCGTATACCGACCAAGATTACCATGTGGCCCAAGGCCTTGAAATAGTCACGGGTAATGGCGAACAGCTACATCAATTACGCTTCGCAAACGACACAATTCTTATTGCGAGTAGCCCTCGGGGGACAAATGAAAAGTTGCAAAAGCTTAAAGCAGAAAAGAAGGAGCCTGGAAATTAAAACACTAAATTCGAAGCTGATACAAATTGCTGACGTATATGAGGTTCCAGCTGACAAAAAATATTGACCTGAAAGAATTTTCCAGCCGCGTCTATCTTGGCCAGGATACAGAGATATCGAACTAAGTGTTCTCTAAAGATTAACCGAGTGTTCTCTGCACGTAATCCTACAATAACTAACAAGACCCAATTGAAATATTTCAGATCACTCGGTCCTGAATTTGGAGGTAGCATCGGCGCGATATTTGCAGTAGCGAATGCAATGATGGCGTCACTGTATATCGTGAGTGTAGCAGAAACAATCGCCGATTTGATGGAAGAAAGTGGATATAACTTTTTGACTGATTCTAAAATTAACGATATCCGTCTCTTCGGCATTGGTCAGCGAATTCTGCCTGTTTATCGTAAGCAGCCGATGAAAAAGCCTCTATTTGACGCGATCAATTCCGAATCCTTTAGCATCCGTGTTGGCAAATAAACGTTATAAATAAGATTTTGTGAACCTTCATCTATTAGGAAAGAACTGCGGCTTGCTACAGTGAACATATCGTGCTTTTTTACACGTTTTTTTAGGTAAAATTCAATAATTAGCGGCATGCATCGAATTTTTTGCACAGTTTCATGTAGTGAATTTTATCATCAACAGTATGAGCATTCATTGCTTCACATTTCGTATTCACTCTGTTGGTAGTTTCTTCTAAGTTCTAGAAAGAGAGCCATCGGATAAAATCGGCGGTATTACGTTGTGGGGTTCTCGCAAAAATTTCACGCTTCTAATGTGGCTAACTGCTTTTATAAGAATGTGGCTGCAGTTCTGGAAATGCACTTTTAATATACCTGCACATAACAAAGCTGCATTTGCAAAACTGTTCCTAAGAGCTAATTTCACGCTTGTGGGCCTGCACACTTCTACTTAGCCTCGTTCATGAGTTAATAATGTTTCAACAATGTCTCAATTTGAACTCTCTCTGCATCTACGTAGCGCCCTAAAAGTACATTAAAGCTAAGTTTTAGGTCTTTAGTTTGCACGTGAAATGTAGCTTTCTAGATTCCCGAAGTTGCTTCTTGCCAGAAGTATCGCATTACATAAGTATACGTGATATCTAAATTTTTAACCCCTGAGTGGACACGAACAGAAGCACCATGGAATTCTAGCTTTCTACCTTGTCTAGTTCCCGAAATCGTTTTTTTTTT